TTTCAGTAGTAGAGATTACAGCTCTCCGGGATACTTAAGTGCGCCTTTTCGCAAATGTACGCTGTCGTAAGCGTGTACGACTCGTCTGTACATCATAAACGAGCGAGGAAATGTGAGCTCTGACACTACTTAGTGAGCCGCTACCATCTTGTATTTAGACTATGCCCTTATGAGTTTACTGAACCTTTACTAGATAAGTGGAATCCACTTATTAATCGCTACGGTAAATTGGGTTCATGCCCTGTACGAGCAAATGTATAAATGTAGATAAAGCGGCATCCCCGGGTTTTGTCGAATTGACGATGTCGTCTCAGCACTCCCCTCTCGCCAGTAATGTTTGTTGTTCTTCGGCACTGGTCCAGGATTGTTACCTGCTGTCATGCGTATGAGCGTTACCGTCTTCGCTCCGAGTGCCTTCGTCAGAGAAGGAAGGATTTAGAAAATGATCAATTTGAAGGCGTGAAGGTGTTTAAATTGTGAATATCTCGACTGCCTTCTCTTTCTCAGAGCAGAACAATCGCAAAAGAGGCTGGGTTGCCTACAAGTTGACAAATATTTTTTTAATCCAGGACAGGAGGGACTGAAAGCTCAATCGACCAATCAAGCGAGCAGCGAGCGATGACGAAAATCTCAATGTAACTACGAAGGTACAATGCAATCAGAGTCGCATTTTTTGGATGGAAATCAAACCGGATTATTGGACGTTGATATACGTTGATATCGAACCCTTAATGCTACCCTTCAAGGGTTGAAAGAAGTCATGCCCTCTGGGGTATCGGAGCTCGAATTAGTATCGGCTTTACTTGACCAAAAGCCCCAGAAAAAATCTTTTTGATTGTGACAATGTAGATGGAAATGGAACGTTCGTCATGGCGGTGTCTAGTAATAAAAATTTTATCGACCGTTACGAGAATGCGTCTTGGCCATATGAGCTAGCGTTACAAATATCAAGATTATTCGCAATCCTCTGTCAGAAGTCACAATCGGATAGATATGTTGGAACTGCCTGGAGTGTGTACAAATGATAAATACGACAGCCATAACGAGAATTGCTAAGAAGCATGCCGATTGAGCCGTTCGGACGTTTCTTTCGCTTTATGATGGAAGTTCAAATGACTTCAAGATACCGGTTTGAAGAATAACGCCAAGGAGCAATGGCTTTCACCAGCAGCGCCGAATGCCATGCTTGGACGACGCATGTGAACATTAGGCACCATTTCAAGGGCAAGAATGCAATATAGATCCTTGAAAAAAGACGAAGCGTCAGTTTACGGATATGCTATCGAATTTCTCACTACATTCATTACCAAGTTGGAGACAAGATGTCGATCCCCTGTTTTAATCTACTTAGATTGGGCATATGTATCAACACTTTTCCTTATCGAGTAAGTTTGTACGATGTTAAATTTATCGAAAGAGCTTCCTTGTGCTTAAGTCAACATCAATCACCAATATATTCCATGGCATTTTTAGACCTCCATAATCACCCTCTATGGTCATCAAATAAAACTAGTTTGTCGTTTGACTACAGCTCTCAACTTCTGAATTTGTGCCCCGGGTTAGAATTGTTGTGGCTGCAGTCGGATTTCAAAGACTACGACTCAATTTGAAGGCGAACATCTACTCAACTTATAAGCAAATACGGCAAGTTAAAGTAAGAACCTATTTTTCTTTATACATATGAAACCAGATACTTTCTCTACCAGTTCATTCTCACCAAGAACCTGCTTGGCACTGTCCGCCACCGAAAAATATCAGTCTGATGCCTAGCAACTGAAATACAATCTTACTAAGTTCATGATTTCTTACTGAATCCCGCACATTGGACAAGTGCACTGAGAACTCATTTCCAGCGAAAGTCGATCGGCATACCCTTCGGTACTTTTTGATTGAGCAATTTCATTCTTTATGACGATCTACTGGCAATCGCAGGTAAAGCGCTTGATGTAATGCTCAAAAGTAGGGTGCATCGAATAGCTAAACCACCATCCTTCCCTTTTCACCCAATTTGACTCAAATCACCCGACTCGATTAATTTTTTCCATATTTACGTGATACGACGCTCCCAATCTCTCAAGATTCTCATCCAGACTCTTTATAAGTTCAATGACTTGCCTTGACTAGCAGAGCTTAAGGAATTCTATTTCCGTCGAAACAGTTGTCACATGATCCACAATTCTTGGCCGATTCAGCTGGTAAAACCGGTGAAATTGGATGATCAAATTTCAGCTGTCAGCTCACACAATCTGTAAGAATTTGTAAATGCTGCACGTAAAGGAGAGGAATCAAACGATCGTATATACGATTTCCTAGATGTCACGATATACTAGTACTTACTGGTTGTACCGATTGCATGATGTGCAAGCGAATGGTGTGGAAATCCCAAATTGTGCCTCTAGCAGGAAAATGAAATTGAGAAACTTCGTGATCAGATATGCAAGTGCGAGTTTGAGAGTTCGATCAAGCGGCGAATCTTGAGCAGAAATACCAGACGTAATTGAAGTAATGCCATGTACAGGTAGAAAGGACCTGTGGACCAATTGACAAGTGTCTTAACGCTTGGACATATAAACACCGAATTTGACTGGGAACATTAGGTAAGTAGGTATAGACAAGAACGGCAGGATTTTACCGAGTGCAGTAGTGACAATAGAAAAAAAAGATACATACATGCATATGCTTGAACCTTGTCAGTTAAAACATTCACTTAACAGATGTTGTGGTACCACAACATCTGTTAAGTAGTCAAGTACCTTGACTGTTAATCTTTAGCGCTGTATAGTCAAATACGCCATTACGTTACGCACGACACCATGACTCGATTCTTCTGGTGACTGCATTTGTAGTGTTGTTGTTGCACTCCAGAGATCAAAATACTCTGAATTCGAGTATGCTGCATGTTAAGGGCACTTTTCTGGCAACCATATGCTGAGAATACAATTGAACTGCAGCAATCACGCTTGATAAATAATCGAATATAGAATGGCATCGTCATTACTACCACATGGATTACGAACTAACGTAGACACGACGAATGGTACAAAGATATAGATCGCGGTCACGATCATTCGATTTTTGGGTTGCATCGGTAATCATAGTGAGGTAGGTAGCCCCACAAATTGTTAATGACCGATCATTGATTTGATCTTGGACAAGTCAGTCAGTAACTCGCGCACTAGACATTACTATCACATGTTCTACAAACTTCCATCCCTAGCATTTAGCAAGCACCAAAGCATGTCATTTCCAAAAAATTCGCTCTTCCTCAACACCAAAACTACCTCAATGAAGATTTACTTGTCCTTCCTCGCTATGCTTGCTGTGGTTGACGGCTATTCCCTTCCAGAAGGTGTCGAGACATGCAACATTGTAGGTGGACCTCATGGGACGAGTTCGACGATACCCCCGTGGTAGCACATGGGCAAAAAGTGACGTCTATCACGATATGTAGAGATCATCGCTTAGATGGCATCGGCATTGAATTTACTCCTCCAAATGGCATGTCACAAGATCCATTTCACGGCAGTAGGAAAAACTGTATGACTCATAATTTGGCTTCGGACGAGTACATTACAAACTGGGAAGCGCAAACTGTGAAAGCCAAAGGTACAACGAGAATTAGCTACATCAGGCTCAAGAACAACTAGGGAGTTTATTACGAAGGAGGGAAAGAGACGAGTCGTGATGACAAGAAAGAAGGTTGCGAGGCCCCTCCGGATCATCAACTTGGTGGATTTCAAGGGCGTTCGGGGGCTGAGATTGATGCGATTGGTCCAATTTGGGTGTTGGTGAATCCTCTTAAGCGTGCCGACCCTGATCCGCCTGCTTCAGATACTCCATCTGCTCCACCTGCTCTAGATGATCCACCTGCTTCGTCTGCTCCACCTGCTCTAGATGATCCACCTGCTTCGCCTGCTCCACCTACTCTAGAATATTTACTTGCTCTAGATGATCCACCCGCTTCGCCTACTCCTTCTGATCAACCTAACCTGCTTGCTCCATATTATCGACCTGGTCCACCTTATCAAGCTGATCCGACTCAACCTTATACACCATATCAGTTTCAACCTTACACACAAATCCCGCTTCAGTATTATCAACCAGCTTCGGTTCAACCGTATCAACCAGCTTCAGTAGAATCGTATCGACCGCCTCAATCGTATCTGCCATATCAGTTTGTTCAGACGGGACAAAATAATCAACAAGATCAGTCATCGCCAGAATTTGATGTCATGCAGAAGACTTAATCAGGAATCTGGTATGATATTTGCCTGCTGAAATCAAGCAGTCATCATTTGTGTATAAGTGATCGAGTCGATGTTGGCGACTCCAAGAAGAACAACTAAACGCATGACTTCCTAGCTAGTAGCTAGTAAAGTTAGTGAGAGTTTGTTTTATAAGAAAAATGACAAAAATCTGTTTTCTTGCGGCAAGTTAGCAAGTTATCCATTGCGTAATTCATGCATTATCTATGAACAGATATCGAATATTGCAGAGAAGTCTGATGAGTGTGATATGCGTGTTAGTATTCGCTAACAAGAAAACATGCTTTTAGGGAATCACGTGTTACGTTGTTCTTATTGGAGACTTAATTATCGGATCACAACGATTGCTCTATCACATCTTTTTCAGATGTAATGATTTCTTGATTTAAGGATGTGGTATCAGAGATCAACTGAACATGTGCTTCCGACTCTGCATACCCTTCGCGGGAGTAGACTTGAAATAATCATGTCAAGTCCATTGATTCAAGATTTATACGTATTTATTTGTAGATCTACTGAATTGCAAGAAATATGAGGCATGAGAAACGACATAATCAGTGAGCCATGTGCAGAGAGATATGCGTGTCAGTGTTCGCCATTTTGATACCGAAAAGTTGATTTTGGTCATCCTATGCTTGTTTCAAGAACACGAAGATGGTAACAAGCAGAATGCAGCTAGGATCAGTGTAAGCGTTCGTAATCTGAGCTAGACGACATTTGACCTGATACCTTTACCGAGCTGGGTCATAGCTGCCCAACTTTCATTTTGTCGCCAACTTGTGTGGCTCGCTATGAAAATTGAGCCTTGCGCATCACATTCACATATCAGGCCCGACCGACTCTACCACCGATGATTTTCAATCGTATTGTTTTTAATTAGGAGTCGAATTAGCGAGAACAAGTGTCGTTTATAGAATTAATTGTGAATGCGACAAGAATGGCTTTATCGATAGGAGGAAGCAGTCTAATTGAACGCCCGTACGTCAGATGTTGTTTTAGGAAGGCCTCGCTTTCAGGCTTTTGTGAATGATTATAAAAAAAAATTCTCTCTAGTGCTTCTGAGGGACAATGTTGAATCCTGCAAGAGGCTCAGCTGTAAAAGTTTTGACGTTTTACATAGCGTCCAAGCGTCTCCTCACTTCGCATTATCTTTGAAACGGAAGACGTTCATTCAAGTGAAATGGTTGGCAGGCGGGAACGTCGTCTGCCAGCCTTTTGCTAAAGCAATACGGTGAAGATGTGAATGCGTGTGATGCTGTGCTATCAACTGTTCTATGATGACGAGAACTTTCAAGTGCCTTTTTAAACTGTTTGTCCTAGGATACTTTTAGCTTAGACAACTGGTTGATAATGAAAAAAAAATCAGAAAGACCAAAAGGTACGGACTACAACGAAATGAAAAATCCTTGACAAACATGGCAAACGAAGTCCGAATCGAGTCAGACGATTTTGACGCTGATTTCGGATTCCTGGAATCTCATTAAGTACTCTGGATTACACCAAGATTCGGCGCTGACTGAACGGTTTGAACAGTTTGCTTGGTCTGATCGTACTGATATGGCAGATACGGTTGAGCAGATTTAACTGGGGCTGGTTGATATGGTTGAGCCGGTTGATACGGTAGAGCAGGTTTATCCGGTTCGGTAGGTTTAAGAGGATATCGCGATACCCAGATAGGACCAACCGCATCAATCTCCTGCCCTGATCGTCCTTGGAATCCACCAAGTTGAAAATCTTCGGGGGCATCGCAACCCTGTTTCTTGGTCTCATCCTTCGTCTCTTTACCTCCTTCGTAATAAACTCCCTTGTTATTCATGAGTCTGATGTAGCTGATTTTCGTTTTATCGTCGGCTTTCACAGTTTGCGCTTCCCAGTGTGTAATGTACTCGTCCGAAGCCAAGTTATGAGTCATACAGTTTTTCTTACTGCCGTGAAACGGATCTTGTGACATGCCATCTGGAGGGTTGAAATTAATGCCGAGGCCATCTAAGCGATGACCTTGACATATCGTGACAGACGTCACTTTTTGCCCATGTTGTATTAGGGGCGTATCGTCAAACGCCTTGCCATGAGGTCCACCTACAACGCCGCAAATCTCGAAACCATCTGGCTTCGAATAGCCTTCAGCAACAGCAAGTACAGCGAGGAAGGAGAAGTAGATCTTCATTGTGGTAGTTCCGGTATCGAGGAAAAGGAATTTTTGAGAATGACTTGTTTTGGGGAATGCTGAAGGCTGGAATGAAAATTTATTGAACACATGGTAGTAATGTCTAGTTTACGAATTATTAAGCCGGCCAAGATGAAAATAAAGATCGGTCATCAGCAATTTGTGGGGCTACCTCCCTTACTGATCTATATCTATTATACCTTGTGTCGTGTTTACGTCAATTCGTCATCCACAATGTTAGTAATGAAGACGCCATTTTAATTACAACTATATATGACGCATCATTATTGCAGTTCAGTCGTATCTCATTGCTAGAAAGTCATGCAGCATACTTCAAAGTTTCAGAAGTCTATACTTCCAATTTGCATTCACAACGCTACAAATTGAGTTGAGACAAGTCACTAGAAGAAGCGAGGCAATTGTCGTGCGTAATGTTGCAGCGCATTTGGGCCACAAAGTAGCACAAGTAACGGTAACAAGACAATCTTTAGCTCGGCATGGACTGTCGTTTGGGTCAAGTTCATATGCCACATGGCACAACGTCGACGATCTTAAGATTGCTTGCGCTAGGCACCAAATAAACCACACATTGCCACCAATCCGCAAGCTTGATTGATATAATTTCACTCATGTATGGTCTTGCGCAGCATTGTGAAGAGAGTGGATGTCAATTGTAACAATTCAGACCGCGCATGTAACTACGAAAGCCAGCACAATGGAAGATATCATCGAGTCTGACTAATTACGGTTCGTTCACATCTCTGTACCTCCCACCTTATTACAGTAAAACCTGTATAAATTAAACATGTTGGGACTGGGGGACAGTGTTTAATTTAGAAAGGGTTTTAAATTCAACAGGTTTGCCTTAGACAGGTTCTACTGTATAGTGCCCAACATGGGTCCATATCTTTTGTTCAATTTAGAGAGGGTTTTAAATTAAACAGGTTTAATTTAGACAGGTTCTACTGTAACATCCTACCATCCTTTTTTTACTCATCTAGACCACTGAATCTCTCGTGCAAGTGCTACTCACACAGGCGACTAAAATGTCATCTGCGGCTTACTGTTCAGATACGCAACTTTTATAGCCACCACCGACATCATCTACTTAGCTCAATTCTGCACAGTTGTCGTAACTGATAGTATTTAGTATTGAATTTAATAAGGTCCCTCTTCTGTCGATCAAACGATCCATTAATAATAGAGTATAGAGGGAGCTGTTACCTTAGAATATAGTAAAACCTTAATTGTTCGAGAACTCGATAGTCAAATAACGACTTACGTCCGAACCTTCATGTATTTTTGCCTACGATTGTATGTTTTGTCGATCAAATAGGTCGCATGAAGTAGACAACTTCTTTACTGATGCAACCATCTCTATATGCAGGAAATCCATACAAGTCTAAAGACCTGTTTTAGTGTGCGTTGAATAGCACCACTCTAAAAAATATCAGTATGTGCCAAACTTCAAATTTGACATGTGGATCCTGCACATACCCAAATTCTCTAAAACTTACACCAAATAGGTGTTTGTTAATCTAAGTACACCACACAGTCACAGTCTAATTACGATAGCGGCCGATGATGATCGTATCGTCATGTCCAATTACTGCATGAGTGACGGAGCGGGGTTCCGACTACCGTCGCAATGCGTCAAAACCTAATCTGAGGCTCTAAATGTAATAAGCACCTATTCATTTAAATTGTACTCTAGGCCATTCAGTATCTATAATTTCTTTTTAAGATGTTTAAATCAGTCCGTTTTCGATCGTCGCTATATCCGTTACATCAAGAGTCGAGAAAGGCAAGGCATAAAGCTGTTAACAGATATAGTCGTGAACTATGGCACTTGATCTATTCCTGCTGGCTGTCGTGGTCATCATTGCGGTTGCTTTGCTCATCTGCAATGTCTACATTCTTGTATACTTTCAACACGATGATGATAAGAATACTGCCTACTTTCCAAAAGCTCTTGTGGTACATTTAAGTTGACACATTTATACTTTGCATAAACTCAAGATTGAATTTGTATCTTCGTGCTAGGTCTTTGGATTGTTCTTTGCCGAGGCAACTGTACTTTTGTTGCCGTTAGATGTAGCAAATAATTCGACGGCTATTGGATGCGAGGAAGGATGGAATCCTGTTTGTGGAAATTTAAACATGGATTTACTTTGGTTATTAGTCTTTTTATCGATTGTCATCTTTCTTGTGGTTTTGCTTCCATTTGCAATCTTTTATTACGAAGCGGATGATGGTGAAGAGAATCCAACAAATAGTCAATGGAAAGAAGCGATGAAGATGGAAACTGGCACAATTTTTGTTGCAGTGGCGTTAATTACGGTACTTTATATAACGTGTGGTGAAAGTAGCGTCCCTATGCGTGCCATGGAAGTCAATAGCATGTCAGCCAGTCAAGGATTTCAACCATATGTTGATGGCACCACTCTTTCCAGTACTATCGTAGCTGCTGCGAGCAATGTGACAGTTCAGCATATCAAACTCACACTTGACGTGTCATTGCCAGTTTATGTGACTGGATTAACAAGTTTTATCGGATGGTTTGGCTTTGCGATTTTCTGCGGTATTGGACTTATCGCTTTGCCGATGGATTTGATTCTGTAAGTCTCTAGATAACTTTGTCAACATTGGTCACCGGGGAATTAAAGTTGTCTTTGTTTCTTGTTGTAGTGCATTTTTTCACCGTCCAAAGTTTATCAGTGCTGACGTTTACGCAATTCAAAAGCTAATTCTACAGCGTCGGTCAGTTGAACTGTTAGAGATCGGTCGATCGATTAAACAACGATCGGACCGTCCAGGTCCTGGTCAAAGTGCTTGGGAACGCAAGAAACAGCGTCGACTGGATTTTGTGACACTTAATAAGTTTAAACAGTCCGTGTATTTGCTTGAAGGCGACGTTGTGGATCTTAAACTTTGTCACGAAGAGTATCGAAACTTTAATCCTCTCAAGCCGATATTCAAGCTGCTCATGGGATGCATTGCTAGTGTCATTAGCTGCATGTGGTTTTGCCACATTGCGCTTTACATGCTACCAAACGCACCATTGCTGCCTTTTCTAAACACGTACTTTATCTGGTTTGATCGCTGGTTTCCACTGTTTGGAACCATCTCTGTCGGAATTTTCAGCACCTATTTGCTTGCGTGTGCAGTTAAAGGTTGTTTCAAGTTTGGTATGCGCTGCTTTTGCATTGCGTTGCACCCGATGAAACTGCATGGAACTTACATGAATTCGTTGATATTTAATCTCGGATTAACTTTACTCTGTGCCATTCCATCTGTACAATTCTGTGATCAAGCTTTTGCTGATTACGGACGCTTAACAGCTTTGCGAACGCTCATGGGTGTGCAAATTCATTATTTAAAAGGGATGAGCACGATCTGGGACTACAATATCTTTATCTACGCCATTTTCGTCATTAGTTTTCTCACTGCGGCAATTTTGCTCGCAAAACCACGAGATCGCGCTTCACCTGTTGATGGCATTCGCAAGAGAATTGAACGTCAAGTTCGGGACACAGCTAATGCTAATGCTGTGTAAAGGGTTTTGTTTGTCGAAAGCTTTGAATCGAAATACAATTATGCACGATTTGCCCTTTATCATCTTTTTAAACTAGTTAGCAGTTTCTCTTAAGCGTGATTATTACCGAAAAGACGACCGGGATCAACGATTCGAAGTGCTTTCGGACTCTTTGATTCATTTTGAAGTCCTTGAAGCTCGATTGACGCCTTCTCTTTCAAACTTTGCGTGCTATTCAGCTCTTTCTCGTTAATTTTTAGCTTGACAACAGTAGGTGATGCTAATGTCTGTATTGTCACTTCAGGTGCTACGTCAAGACGTAATAAGCCCAGGTCATCATCAGTGCATTCCTTAAGTAGGTTTTGTACCCAGGAGTAGATTTTCAGACCTGCACCTTTAGCAATTCGAACAAAAGCATTTTCAGTAAATGATGGGTATTGAAAGATTCCATGCAAAGCTGTGACTTGAAAAGGCGTCAATGTACTGCGCTGTACACCTCGAAGACGATGACTCCAAGTTTGCACTTGATGTAGCACTTGGCGACAATATGTCCACGAATAGTCAGATGGTTCGAAATGCTCTTGTTGCTTCATGGTACGTTTCTTCGTACGCACATCACTCGGTGCAGGAGGTGTATCCAAAAGAATAACAAGACACATGTATAGATAATGCAGCTCTTGAACAGGCATCCGAATTTTTCGTAATGTTTCCCATTCTTCACGAGTGACCCCCATCCATTCAAGATTTCCAGAGCTTTTGATACTAGAAATGTCATCATTCGACATCCAATCGACATTTTCTGCCTCTTGATTTCGCGCTGCAGCCATGAATTCTCGATGACGAAAGTGATTAATACGTCCTTGTTTTCCTCCTTTCCGACCGCCTCCATCTGTTGTAGCTTGGTGATGTTTCGGCCATGTCGGGACTGTGTCACTCGACATGACGCAGCTTGGAATTATTTGCTGCAAACGTTGATCTGTCATCAATGGAAATGTTGTTTTATCTCTAGTCTTCTCAGTATCTACAGCATTGGAGTAGTGTTGTTCTAAAACAAGCTTAGCAGCTTTCGTAGTGAGTTTATAAAGGTCGGGACCACCTAACAACCGGCCGCTGAGACTTGAATCCTTATGTGCTACAATCAACACCACATTCGTCACTTGCCAACGTTGTAATAAATACAACAATCGATCTCCAACTCCTTTTAATGACTGGTCATGACATTCTTCAACTAGGTTTGAGTCAGGACCATTGCAATCAGCACAATAAACGCGAGAAGCTCGAGGAAAGTTTTGAAACCCTTGCAATCGCGGTTGCTTTGTCAGAGCATCGAGAACGACTTGATTAAGATCTTTCTGCTGTTCAAGTGGAAGCATAGGAAGGAGAAGACCTTGAAACGAATTTTTCTTTAGTATTACTTGAGGTCCTAACGTCACATGTTGAGTTTCAGAGATAGTAGACCGAGGAGATTCCATGATAGCGTCTCGGGTGTTTCCTACTTCTATCATATCATTTCTATAAATGCTTTATTTAGTTCGAACGACACTTTTACTCAATATCTCGTAACTCTGCGAATCATCGCCACATGCACTTGGCGACGTCTCGTCGATCTCAAATCCTAATCGTTCTTTGTAAAATCTCATTGCATCTACATTATTCTTAAACACGGTCAAAACGACAAGCTCCATCTTGTGTTTTCTTGCTATTAGAAGCAAAAGCTGCATAAGAAATTTGCCCAGACCGTGGCGTTGTATCGTGGTAGCTAGCTGGACTTCATATAGATAGAGCACAAGCGCACCATCATCCTCGACGAAACGATAGTGTACAAAAGCTACAAGAATCTCGTTGGCATCGTACGCTAAAAGGTATCGCGCGTCAGCTTCGAATAATTCTAAGCGCTTGGCATGGGCATCATATCCCCAGTCTGACGCTTGGTACAGACTTTTCATATTGCTCTCAAACAGCGCAAGAATATGATCTTCAGTGGCCTTGGACAAGTATTTAGATTGCGAGCTACGAATTGTTACATTGCAGTCGTTGCGTGTAAAGTGGGCGAACGCTTGAAAGTCCACCATTACGTCTAAAATAGCGTTCGCTGCCTCTATTGTCGGGTGGATTGAGACCTTCATGACGTCGTTTTGGCCTAGTTATATACTATGTAGGCTTTATCTCAACGACTGGTGCCTAAAGCGTAATTAATGTATGGCTCTTAATTTAGGATATGTATGAGTAAGTACGTGTGTCTGCTTGTAAGATAAAACAATGATCGTATGCACAAGAGTCGTGATAAAGGAGTCAGTTTGCGAATTGCATTTTTTAGGTGAATTTTCGGGTGTGGTTAGCTAATCGGTGATATTTCAGGTGTTTTTGAACCGACTCGTACCTTATGTTTCACGATAGAAGAACATCTAATATGAAATTGCATGTTTTATCTTTTTGAGCTGAAACATCTGTGATCATTTTGCGCTGTGTCA